CCCCCAAAAAAAAAAAAAAAAATGTCGAAACAAGCAAGACAACACTAAACTCTAAATCTTAGAACCTAGAGGCTGGCAGTATAAGGTGTTATAGAGTTGTAGCAAAACTTATAAAACTCAACTCGTCCTTGATCATCTCGTTGTGCTTGACCATATCCGTGTGGAGGATAGCTGCGATGATACCCCGGCCTTTGGATTGGTCTCTTGGCGCTTTTGCTCGCCTTCTAAAGCCCGACAAATTTGAGGAGTTATACAGATTCGGGGTCTGGTGCTTGGGATTTAAGGCTTGAGGGGTTCCCTAAACCCTAAAGTTAGGGTATGGGGGTCCAGGTCCCACTATCTGAGATTTAGGGTTTGGGGTGTCGGGCTTCGGGGTTCAGGGCGCAGGATATGGGGCTTAAGGCTTCCGGTTCGGCGCCCCAAGTCCTAACCCCAAACTATCTGATATAGGGACCTCAATGACTGGAATGGGGTTTGGGGGTTCCTTTAAAGGGTTCTATAAGGGATCTATAGTAGGGTTCTATATAGGGACCTTCATAATTAGAGTTGGGGTTGCGGGGCCCATTATGCTATACGTATAAAAAAGAACCCCCAAAAAAACAACAATATTGGTGCGTCTTTAGACCCCTATAGTAAACTAAGTGCTGACGAGGGGGGGGCATTGGGAGCAGAACGGCCTCAGAGGCCGGCGCTAGGTTTAGGGCTGAGGGTTAGGGTCAGCGTTTACCGTAGACCCGAATTCCACCAACCTTGCTGTCTAGATATCGAGCGACTCATAAATCTCTTGATTCAATAAACGGAGGCATATTCCTGCACGCCTGGAAAAGATCTTGGACATGGAACGGTTAATTGGAATATCGGAGTCCGATTACTGGAGTCAGGCGGAAGGCTACGGACCGAGTGTTGAGTGTGGCCTTTGGTGGTGCAGATTTGCCTGGGTGTCTGATTTTGCCACCGCCTGGTTGCATATCTGTTTCATGAAACGGTCCCGAAGTTCTCCGCCAGAATTGGCGATGTTCGTTTGCAAGTTGCCTGCCTAAGCCCCAAACATCCCTAAACCCTAGACCCATCTGCAGAATACCCTTCATCAAACCTTGAAGGCAACAATGAAGCTCTTAACCCTGAACCGAAAATCCTTGTTTCCCAATCATCAATCTCCATCCTACGCCCTAAACGGCCCTAGACTCACAAGCTCAAATCCTCATGCTCCAAACTAGTTGAGACTAGTAAATCCAGGAAAAATGATAATAAGGAACCCCTAAAAATATTATAGGGTACAGGCCTCGACCAGGGATGTTCGGAGCGAGAGCCCTAACCGATTTCCCAGCACCTACCATAGAGGCTTATGGAGGCCTTCTTGATTCAAAGCCAGGCTCCTTACCTATGAGGGTCTTGCAGGGTCTTTCTGCAAGGGCCTATACCTCATCATACACTCATAGAGCCGAAGCCTCCGACTCCCCGAACTCTATTGGCACGGAGCCCAAAACCCTGAGACCACAGAACATTTAGGGCTTAGGGTTTAGGGTTTAGGGTCTAGGGTTTAGTGTTTAGCGTTACAGCCAGGGTTTAGGGTTTAAAGTCCCCAGGTCCCCAAGTGCCCAAGCCGGAAACTGTCATCCAGCAGATGAAAGCAAAACAGCGTTCGGTAGTGCTTTCTCCATCATCATAGCTGCATAAGCCCCCAAGTTGTGGGTCCTTGTGCGACTGACCATGCCCCCATCTGGGAAAACCTTTTCAAACGTCGAAGAAACCTCTTCGAGTCGAAGACTTTCAGACCATCGACACCAAAGTCGGGGTCCTAAACCGCCTCTAGAACACACTGTAGATCACCTTGATTACAGGACATAGTATCTGTACAACCCTCATAACCCCCTTACAAGCGCTTGAAAAGCGCACGCTGCAACTTTTCTGGGCTTCCTCTCTCTGGCAACCTGAAAGGAATGAAACCGCATCTCCCCCCCCCCACAGCCCTAAACCCTAAACTAAAAACCCTAAACCTTAAACTAAAAACCCTAAACAAAAAACCCTAAACCCTGAACTAAAAACCCCAAACCCTCCCTTGCTCGGATCTCGGCGCATGTCCTTGTAGGTCTCCTGGGCAAGGCGGATTCTTCGAACTCCGGGTTGAGGTTCAGGGCGGAGGGCTTCGTTTCATAAGGGTCTAAAAGGGCTCAGGGCTTAGGGCTTAAGGCTTAGGGCTTGGGGTTTAGGTTTAGGGTTTAGGGCTTCGGGCTTAGGTTTAGGGGTCTGCTCTGTTTTTTGTTACCTGAACTAATAGAACTTCTGGGTGTACCCTAAACCCCTAAACCCTAGTAGCGATTCGGACTGTGGGACCTGAGCTTCTGGGTTTGGGGATCTATAAGGGTAGTTCTCTAAATTCGGGTCCCTTAGAAGGGATCTATATAAGTTAAGTGTTTCTATGAGGGTAGTATAAGGTTCCCATACGGCACCCTTACAAAAAAATTCAAAAAGAGAGGCAAGCCGACGCGATCCGAAGCCCTTATAAACGGGACCCTAATTTAGAGAACTACCCATAGGGTGTTTGGATTCGGGTCGACCTGCTGCCTCTCCAAAGCCCAGTGCCGCACACTCTCTGAGCGCAATTCGACCCCCCCAAACTCAAACCTTGGGGTACAGCATAGGGCTTAGGCGCCTCCAAGCCCCAAAGTTTTCATTACGAATTCCTACATTATGATATATAACACTTACTCCACTACTTATATTGAGCCAAGCCTGTGGAGCCCGAGGGAAACCTCACCCTTTCATACCTAATAATGGGGTCTGAATACTTAGAATGGGGTCTTGGGGGTATACTATACTAGAACTACTATACTAAGGAACCCCCAGAATAGTAATTTCAAGGCCCCTATATTAGCGCGACCTTGTCCACGTTGGCGAAGACGTTTGTCTCGGCACTGGAGTTCACGACCTGGAAGAGCCTCATCGTGAAGACGTCGGGTTTGGGGTTTGGGTTTAGGGTTTAGGGTTTAGGGGGTAGGGTTTAGGGTTTAGGGTTTGGGGTTTCGGGCTTAGGGTTTAGGGTTTAGGGTTTAGGGTTCAGGGCCGAGAGTGGCAGTTTAGGGTTGCGGGCTGATTTAGGGCCAGCTCAGACCAGAAAAGCTCAGCTTACTTGCCCACTGCACCGAGGATGCAACAGCTTAAGCGTTCATAAAACGCTACTAATATACGAAGCGCAAGAAGAAGAAAGGTCGGAGGAGAGCCAAGTCAGCAAAGATGCAGATACCCCAAAATGTGTCCATGTCTTACAACCTGTCCCAAGAAAAAAATCGAGTACACCCGGAAGCTCAATTCAGGGAGGTGGCGTCGCGCAGTGCATGTTCTCCAGGGGAGACCGATCCTGATAGAAAGCAACGGTGGCCTAGACTCCCAATGAAGGAATTTAGGGTTTAGGTTTAGGGTTTTAGAACTTCGGGGTTTAGGGGTTTAGGGGTTTAAAGTTATGCCTTTTCAGGTTTGGGGGATTACTTTGGTGGTACCCTATATAAGGGAAAGTATTGCCTGGGGGTCTACGTCTGGGTCCCAGAACCTCAACCTCAATCGCCCTTCAAGGTTTAGTGCACAACAACCCTAAACCCTAAACCCCTAAACCCTAAACCCTAAACCCTAAACACCTGAAGCCTTTGGCCCCCAGGAGTTTTGGGAGTTGGAGGGCTTGAGATGAATAGGGCATGAGGCTTGATTTTGGGGCCGGGCTGTGGGAATCACGGCCTCACATGGCTTCAGAGAATGTTCGGAAAGTGAAGATTTCGGAGTAGACAGGTTCGCCGTCAGTCCAGTTATTCAGAGGCTGCGCCTAAACCCAAAACTTAAACCCTAAACCCTAAACCCCAGGTTCAGATGAGCCCGCAAGGCCCATTTGTCTCAAACCATCGGCCTTCAAGCTCATCCACAGCTTCAGTCGCTTAGTGTAAAAGCGGTTTAGGGTTTAGGGTTTGGGGTTTAGGGGTTTAGGGGTTTAGGGTTTAGGGGTTTAGGGTTTTGGGTTTAGGGGTTTAGGATTCAGGCTGCCTGCTTCTTTCTGTGCGGCTGTAAGGCTTACAGTCGGGGCTTGACGCTGTCGAAGGTTTGTATCTGCAGGGAGTATCAGCAGCAAAGTCAAGGCCTTAAGGTCATGGTCCGGACATCTCAAACCCTCCCACAAACTGTTCTGCCTCAACTCGCCCCGAATCCCTCAATTGCAGGTTGAGGTGATTGTCGGGGGCTCTGGGGGCGCAACCTTATGTAGGGAGTAGAAGGCAGAATCGGAGATTACCAGCTTGCGTCCCTTTGCTTGGAACCCCCATCGTTCTTGGAGGCGAGGTGCGTTGTACTTGACAGCAACCTCGTGGTTGGTCTCGACAAGGAACTGGTTGTTTACACCTCGTGGGCTTCGGCATGTTTAGACGTCTATGAGCGATCTACAAATATTCTACAAAGGTTCCTTAAGGGGTATTCAAGTTCAGCTGGAGCTTCGGGATAAGGTCTCTAGAAGGGTTCTATTAAACTGGCGTTTGGGGTTTTCTGATTCAGGTCTTCGGCGCTCCTGGATTAGGGTGTGTTACTTCAGGGTTTACAGACTTCGGTGTCTAATGTAGGGGCCTTAGTAATTACCTATACTATTTTGGGGACTCCCTATTGAAAATATAGTATAGTGGGCCCCAAAACCCTATTCTCATTATTAAGGCCTACACTAAATAAACCCTTTTGGAGCCCTGATAATAACCCTTATAGTAACCCTTTAAATATTAAGGCCGCTATATTAGGGCTCCGGTGGTTTGACTCGAAGAGCTTCGGGTTTCGTGCCTGAACTGGATTCTAGTACCCTCTTTTGCTCGAACTTCACTGTTAAGGCCCCAGAACACGCCGAACCCCTAAACCCTAAACCCTTCGCCGTTTAGGGTTTCGGGTTTATACTAATTTTATTTTAGAGTGCTTTATGCAGCTTATTATAATAAGTCATAAACTCGCCGTCAAAGCTCCAAAGGCCCTAATTGGACAAATCATGAAACTGGCCCATAGAGATATTGCCTTCAGAGGTCTATGTCACTTGATGTAAGTCCCCAAGCCCTAAACCCCTAAACATAAAAGCCTAAAACCTTTAACTGCATTTCCTTCCCACAAGAACCCAGTTTTGGTGCTCTCAAAATAGCCCTGGACCCGAGTCAACATCATGCTGCGCTACTTTCAGTAAGCAGCGGGCAAACATGCAAGGCAAAGTCTCTGCCAGACATGGGGATACTTCGCGGTATGGCGACTCAGAAATGAGCCGTCGGACGAGCGGCCGTGCATGACAACATGAGCATCCACGGTTTAGGGTTTAGGGTTTAGGGTTTAGGGTTTAGGATTTAGGGATCCTTGCCATGCTGGCCACAGATAGCTTCTGGAAGCTAGTGGCAAACAGCCAAGTTTTAGCCCAGTTCTCACCGCAAGCGCAAGCTGGTAAGAGGACTAAGGCGCAGGGTGCAACCAACTTTGGACACATGACTCTTTCCAGGACATTGCTCCCGAAGACTTCTCAAGATGGCCGTAGCCACCGTGGAGGTCGCGAATGCATTCCTCCAGATACTGGACACGCTGAACCAGCAAGTTGAATGCCCCCTGGAGATGGTGCAAATGAGCACTGACAAGCTCTGAGCTTCAAGTGGAGGGCAAGAGCATGGGGACAACGTGGAGCCTCAGGGACAGGGTTTAGGGTTTGGGGTAACTTATACTACAATCATAATCAGGAACCCCGCAAATAGTATAGGTAAGCATTAAGGCCCCTATATTAACTTTGCAGATGCGTAGGAGCTGTAGCCACTTCCTTCTACAAGTGCTCGGTCCTTTCATGGCCGCCCCTACCCTCACAAGCGCCTCCAAGATCAGGAGTTGCCCGAAGCATCATATACCCAGAGTCGGACTCATATACATAGCATATACATACATATATATATATGTTTTAATGTCCTGTCTACGTGTAATTATATGCACGCACACACATACATTGAATTATTTACGTAATTATTTCTTATTCGTCCTGACCTGGGCACAGAATCCTGTCTGGTACGACCAAAACCTCGTCATGTAGTTGATGCCCAGACCACCATACGAAAAAAAGATGCGCTAGATTGGCCCGGGAACGGGACCAAACCAATATCCCAAAACCCGAACCCCCAACACTAAATCCTAAACCAGAAACCCTCAACCCTAAACCCTCAACCCTCAACCCGAAAGCCCACAACCCGAAACCCTTGACCCAAAGCCTTGAAAGCCCACAACCCGAAACCCTAGACCCAAAGCCCTGAAACCCTAAACTTCCCTAAACACCCTGCACAAGGACTCCCGACCCAGATGTCCCAAGTCGTGGCCGATGGAGGCAATGAGCAGCCAAAACCTCGATCACTCAGAGGATTCAGAGCTGAGGGTTTAGGGTTTTAGGGAGTTCAGGGTTTCAGGATCTTAGGGTTTATTGCTAGGGCCTAGGGCTCAGTGATTCAGAGATCAGGCTTGTTAGGCTCTTGGGGTCTAGGGGTTTGGCGCCGAGGATGTCATGCAAAAGGCTCCAAAGAGCTTCAAGGGCTTACTAGGCTTGCAGTTATTAGGGTCGTGGCTTTCGGGTTTGTTTTTTTCTTTCAGGGTTTGGGGTTTAGGGTTTAGGGTTTGGGGTTTTGGGGTTGGGGGGGTTTTGGGGTTTGTGGTTTTGGGATTTCAGGGCTTGAGGGTTTGGATTTAGGTCTGTAGGGCCATAGGGCTCAGGGTGTTGCAGGCTTCTAGAGCTTCTCGGGCTCCTTGTGCTGAGCACTGTGGGAACCCTGAACCCCAAACTCATTCCTCGATTTAGGGGTTTAGGGTTTAGGATGATGTCCAAAAGCCCTTACAAAACCTTACAGACACTGCAAGCTGGACGGAAAGCACTTTGACGTCGTCATCACCTTGGCTCTCTTGTCGCGGTTGTATACCTCTGGTTGAGCGGCACGTTGCCTCGATTATCCTAAACCCAAAACCCCAAACTTTAAACCCTAAACCGTGTCTGCGAACCTGCTATTTTTTTGGGGGAGGGGGGGGGTCCTTATTATACTTATAGTATCATATAGAGCCTTAAAAAAACTACCTATACTATTCCCGGGGTTCCTTACTTGTTGCATCTCTAATATAAAATAACCCAAAGCCTATTCTAATTATTCAAGGCCCCTACATTACCCTCAGACGGTCCGGAAAAGTTCGGGAGAGCTCTTCTAAAAGCTATCTGAAGTCTTTACGTCGAAGACCCTAACCCCTCAACCCCTAAACCCTAACCCCCAAACCCCCAAACCCTAAACCCTAAACCCTCATTAAACCCCTGAACCCGAAACCCTAAATCCCTAAACCCTAAACCCCAAAACCCCTAAACCCTAAACCCTAGACCCTAAACCCCTAAGCCCTACCCTAAACCCCAAAACCCCTGCACCCTAAACCCCAAAACCCCAAAACCCCAAAACCCTAAACCCCAAAACCCTTAAACCCTAAACTCCCAGATCATGCCAAGACCAGTCTTCACTTCAGCAGGGGCACTGCGATGTCTCCGAGAGGACCGCCTCCAGGTTCGTCAGCCTTTCGGGTTTAGGGTTTAGGGGTTTTGGGTTGAGGGTGTAGGGTTTAGGGTTTAGGGGTTTAGGGTTTACGGTTAGGGGTTTAGGGCGAGTTTAGGGTTTAGGGGTTTTGTGTTCGGGGTTTAGGGTTCCTAGAAAAGACCCACAGGGCCTTAATACTTAGAATAGGGCTCTGGGCTCTTTATAGTATGACTATAACAAGGAACCCCCCAAAACAGGATTGGTAATTATTCAGCCTCCTATATTGGGGATGAAGGTTCGGGCTTATTGGGTTTTGCGTTTGGGGGGCTGGTGATTTCAGGGCTCTGCGTCCCTTGCCGTCGATTAGGGCTCATGGGTTTGGAGGGCCTGACTGGCTGCTATCAGAACAAGAGCAACTGCAACTTGCAGGTTCAGACTACTGTCCAAAACATGACTGTGGTCGCCATCATGGCTGTCTCTAGAAACAGCCACGGCTGTTACTACGCTTCTTGATTTTGCGCCTGGTGGTCACCCTTGGGTTTATATAGGGTTGAGGGCTTCAGGTCCATTCTGAGGTGTCTATGCTTGGGACACATATGGTAGATTTAGTCTTGCTTTGTAGACTGTTGCTACTAGAAGTAGTGGGGCTTCGGCTTTGTGGATCCTTGGTGGGTACCCCAAACATTACTAGGCCCCTAAACACTTCGTGGGTAAACCTATAAGGAATCCCGCTCCTTCAACAGGAATCCCGTGAAAAAGGTAGCTTTGTCCATGTGGCGAGTCTGTGTCGGGCACCTCTTCAAAGGACTGCCCCGATAACCCTCAACCCTAAGCCCTAAACCCTAAATCCGAAACCCTAAAACCTAAACCCCAAAACAAAATCTTCCAAAAACTTGATGACGGCTAAACCCCAAAACAAAATCTTCCAAAAATTTGATGACGGTGAGTGTGGGGGGACATTGAATACCGGCCTGCAGAAGCGCGAGACTGCATAGAGGACCTCGGATTTCGCAGGATCATGGGAGGAGGGCCGCGGGCTGGTGCGGAGTTATGGTGAAGAGACGTGTAACGCTTTTATGGAGGTATAGGGGTTGTGATGTAGGGGCCTTAATAACTAGAATAGGGTTTTGTGGTATATTCTACTATAGTTATAATAAGGAAATTCTTAAGGTTCCTGTACTAGACTGACACATAAGCTTTTAGGGATTAGGGATTGACGGTCTGGGGGTTTTGACGTTTCCGGGTGAAGGTCTTGGAGTACTGCAAGTGGCTCCGACTAATTTAATATAGGAGCCTGAAGAAGCACCTATACTATTTTTTTTTTTTTTGGGGGGGGGGTTCTTATTATGATTATAGTATA